CAGTGGAGGTTGAAATTCCAGTTGTGTATAGCATGACCGCAAGAGTGATGATTCTGGGTACGCAAACGCAACTGAATTTTATGCACTGGCCTGCTGTGGAAATGAGATGACAATTCCGCACGAAGAGCATGATTAACGTACACTGTACACTAAACAAGGTGTGAGCTCAGTCTTTAGAAATCCTCTAGGGTACCAAGCCCCAAGCTGTCTGTCATCATCCAGTCACCCTGTTCGTTTGGGTTTATTTGACTTATAAGTCATGGTTGAAAGTACCGTTGGCTGGTTTGGTGTGAGGGAAAAATACTATTTATTGGCTGATAAACCATGACTTATAAGTTAAATACGACCAAACGAACAGGCTGATGAACTTTTCCAACACCAGCTTTCGGAGCCCTGGCTAACATTTTCAGCGCCACAAGGATCAGATCTAGTACGCTATTTTCTGCATTCTTTTGACGAAAGGCAGCAGTGATGACGGCTAATGCGGGCACGCTTCCTTCCCTTAGCAGCACCAACATGAAACCACTATCACCTAATTGTCATGAACCGCATTTGAGACAAGAGCATACAGGGACAGATTAATCTACCTGTCAAGAAAGTGGCGCGTGGCATTAGACTGTGAATGATGCCTAGCTAGCGGACTGCAGTGATGGCTCCTATATTAAAAGCCAAAATCACAAGTGCTTGAGGCCTCTAGTGAAATAAGCATGTGTACGCGTGGTTCACTTGTGGGCAGATTTATTAGCAGGATTCATCTAATTGCTGCGGTGGCGCTGCACCGTGCCACCGTGGGACGGTGGGCCCAGTGGTCCTGGCATAAATGTAGTAGGGTCATGAACCACGAGTTGCGGAATCAATCAATCCTTCGTATTATGCTCATTCCATGATGAATGTTTATTAGGACGTCGATCATTCCGGCGGCAAATGGACACCACCGAGACCTCGTTCGGATGCGCATGTTTCGTCTTAATCTATATGGGTTGGAGTTGATTGGAGTGAAATTAAAAAATTCTATTCTATTTCACTCCAACACACATGGATTGAGATAGATACACATACATCAAACAAGGCTCAGAGTGGGCGACTCACGGCGATCTGTCGTCTCTCGTGCGTGTCCACTTAAAGTTTGTTTGATACATATGTATTCACCTTAATCTACGTATGTTAGAGTGGAATGAAATAGAATTTAGTTCATTTACACTCTAATCCACTTCAACACATGTGGATTGAGATATACATGTGCATCAAACAAGATCTAAAGAGTTACTAACATGTGGATTGAGATATACATGTGCATCAAACAAGATCTAAAGAGTTACTATAGTTACAGCACAGGAAATGTATACGCTGAATGAATGTATCATCATACCCCCTGCTGTACATAAAACAAGTATAGGATACGCAAGCTGCAGAACCTGACTTCAGCGTATCTCAAGACTCGAGAGCTCGACCAAGCAGTGCCAGACAAAGATTCACGGTTGCCGAAAGTGGCACTCGCAAGCCACAACTCAAAAGCGGCCAATGCCGTAGCAGCTAGGTTTCTGGATTACTGGCACTGGAGCGACGAGAGTGAGCTGCATCTTTCGACGACGACGCAGTTCTCCTCCTATCCTATATTATCTGTCGTTTTTTTTTTCATATAGCAAGTTTAACTCGATTTTTAAAAAATATGTGCAATATTTATATCTCTAAATAAATTTATTAAAACACTAAATTTAAAGATCTTTTCAATGATACCAATTATATATTATAAATATTAATATTTTTAATATATATTATATTAAATTTGTTTCTCGAAAAATAAAAATGATAAATATTTTGGGACGGATGGATGGAGTAGCCCTGAAGGCTAAATAAATAGAAATCGGCTGTGGCAGTGTGGCTTGCGTCCAGCTCGAAAGAGTCCAACAAGAAAGAGGCAGGAAACGCACCTTGGGCGAGTGTGAAAACTGAAAACCACCAAACCAATGCGTGCTCCCGTGCTGCTCTGTCTTTCATTGCTCGCTACTCTCGACACACCCAGCAAACGGCCACCCTCTGCGACACGCAGCGATCAAATGCCAGGTAGGAGCATGAATTCTTCAGTCGAGTTCGTGAGGGTGATGCAATCATGCCGTGATTCCAACAAGTACGCCGAACTGTGTTCGTACTTCCTTCAGTTCCTTGTAGCATGGCGGGCGAGCTCGAGAGGGTCAGTAACTTCTACTGGAACGCAGTAAGGGTACAGTGTTCAGGAGGCAGAGGGCCCAATGTGGGGATTGCATAGGTTCAGAGCTCAGACATCAGTGTAGCTCTAATCTCAGTCAGATGCCATGTAACAAATCCTTGAACGTCGTACATTGAATCACGAGAATAGCATGTTCCAGTTCCCAGCTCTCAGCTTTGATTCAGCGGTAGTATGTTCTCCAGCGAGTCACAGTGGCCTACTACGAAGACTGTTTGGTATACTCTAGCTCCTCTCAAGGGAGAATTCTTCTCTAATATTGTTAAAACTTTTTGAAAATGTAGTAATTTTTTGACTTTTCATGCTTAGAGAGATACAGGAGATACTAGAGAAGCCACATTTTTCAGCTCTTCAATACAAAAATTGTTCCAGGTCCTCTGTGTTTCATGCATGAAGCTGCTCTCCTTGGCCATTTGGTATAGTTTCTCAAGAAGCCGAACTAAAGCCGGCTTTGAAGCCCTACCAACCACGGCAGTGGCTCTGGCTCAATCAAAAATCAACTGTGGGACAAGCGAAACCGATGAAGCCAAAAAACATTTGTCTTTATCTATGAGTCGAGTTGGAGCAGCACCACTAAGCCCTGTCAGATAAGTCTTAGGGGGTTCAATTGTGAGCTATAAAAAGGTTGTTATGAGCTATGCGCTGTGATTTTTTTTTATGAGCTAGCAATAGGCACCCGCCAGCTATGGAAAGCCAAAGCCAGGCGAGGATTGGAAGGGCACTCCACGTCTAAAACTTTGCGGAATGCGAGGGCATTTTTCCACGCAGGCATAAATAGCAACCTCATTTCTTCATGTTTTGGAGGACCGGTTTTTATCTTCTTCTTTTTTTGCCAAAAATCGCTTTGGGGACTAGATTTATGTTATGTTTGGTTGTTTACTCATGCGTGCCAAAGAATGTCAGACCAAATCTTAGGTATTTTAATCAAAATTGGCCTTCATTTGGTTGGGTTCTAAATTTTGGCTCAGCATCCCTCCCATTTGCCTATTTTAGTTCATTTTAGTGGCTAAAGTTGGCGAGAACCATGGCCACCAATTTGGTGTAAAAATTTGCCTTGGCTAATACATGGCATATTTAGGTGAAAAACTAAACATACCCCTCAACCTTCTAGTGATGCTCTTACCTTTCAATAAAAAAAATCAAAACAACATTCTAACTTGCCAAGATTCCACGGTCCTACAATCCACTGTCTCCCAAAATTTTATGGTTTGATCATTGTTGCCTTAAATGCATCCTAGAACACAATGACCAAACACCTAGAATCTAGATAGGTCATATTTGTTTGTTTTTAACTTTTAGACTATAAATTTCCATTATCCATGATCTATAAGCTACTTTTCAAAATCCATAGGCTTGTCGGTGTTTTGTATCACCGAGAGTGCTTGGCCCTGTTCGTTTCGCTGAAATTTTAGCTTATGCTAAAATGTGTAAGAGAAAAACATTGTTCGTTCGTTGTAGGGACTGTACAAGTAGTGCTGCAAAACAGGGTGCTCTACGTCTAGTGAACGAAAATGTTTGTATTGCTCATGCACTGAATCCTCAATTCAATGTTGAGAGGGGGGGTAAGATGTGAGATTGTTCGTAGAGAGTGTATAACTAGAACCATGGATGCGGATATGCCGCGAGTGGTTGCGTTTTTCCATCTCGCGTCATCTTTTTACCTTCCTCTTCTTCTCCCTCCAGCGCGCCTCCTCCTCCACCCTCTCCCCCGCCTTCGACCACCGGCCCTCGTCCTCATCCTCGTCCCCGCCCCCGCCCCACCGTGGCGAGACCCTACCGCGTCCGCGGCGGCCTCTTCCTTCCCCTTCCCCCTCCCGTCGCCACCATGGCCATCGTCGCCTCGCCCTAACCTGGCCCGTCCGCCTCCTCCGCCGCCGAAACCTTAACACCACCCTCCCCACCGCTGTCCGGCGTGCCTCCCCCGAACCCCCCTTCTAAGTCCACCGGAGTTGGGAAAGAAGAGTGGGAGAGCCTAGAGTTGGGGAAGAAGAGAGAGAGAGTCAGGGCGGGGTCAAGGTGGGAGCGCGGGCGCGTGGGATTAGGTCGCACTGGAGCGTGACGGTCGCGTGTTTAAGGGGATGTTTGGTTTCTTCTTCTAAACTTTAGTCGTTGTCCCATCGGATGTTTGACACATACATGGAGTATTAAATATAGACTAATTACGAAATTAATTGCACAGCTTGGGACTAATTTGCGAGACGAATCTTTTAAGGCTAATTAGTCCATGATTTGACAATGTAGTGCTACAGTAAACATGTGCTAATGATGGATTAATTAGGCTTAATAAATTCGTCTCGTGGAGTACTGATGGATTCTGTAATTTGTTTTTTTATTAGTATCCAAACACCCCATACGACACCCTCACGTGACACCTCCTAAATTTTAGTCATCGGATCCAAACACCCTCTAAGTTTCCCCTTTTGTATTGGTTTAGCTCTCATCAATGTAGGCCGAACTTGCTCTTAACATATGTTTTGGAAGTGTACATACCAAAAACATTCGCCATAACCTGCTCATCCAAATGCTCCAAATAAAAGGCATAACCCTCTTTTGTATACAGCTATTATTTGCTTCTTGAAGGCTGAAGCGCTGATTAAGAGCGAAGAACGGCGCCAAAAAATTACAGGTGAATAAATTAAGAGTCAATTGATCCTAGCTATCAGTACTTCATACATTTTTTACGGCACAATGGGCAACATCAGAATCGGGCAGAGCCGACCAACGAATTCGGCAAAAGACATGGAGAAATGGCACGCGACAGAGCCGACGCTGTGCATCAGCGGCACACCTTGCAGATGCAAACGAGCAAGATGACCAGGAACGCCAGGCAGGACAGCCCAATGGCCACCCGAGCACCGTCGCGTTGGGTCCACCCCTCGTGTCGGCGCCGGCGTCCGCCTCTCTGTCCCCACCGCCGTCGTCGTAGTCCGCGCTTCGCTCCGACCGCGCCGTGGCAGGGGGCGGCAGCGCCGGGAACCCGTACTTGTCGCACGGCGCCACGCCCACGGCCGGTTGTAGCACAGCTTGCCGTTCCCGGCGGCCCTGAACACGCGCAGCCTGGACAGGAACTTGGCGGTGAACGGCACCATGCCGTCGAAGTCGTTGTTCTCCAGGTTGAGCCCCTCAGCCCCCGCATCTCGGCCAGGAACAGCAGTATGCTGCCGTTGAGCCGGTTGGAGCCCAGGTTGGGCACCTCCAGCTCCGGTAGCGTAGAGAGGGTGTCGGGGATGCCACCGGAGATTGTGTTATTGGACAGGTCCAGGGCGGTGAGCGAAATGAGATCGCCAATGGAGGTGGGGATGGGCCCATTGAGAACGTTGGAGCTGAGGTTGATGTGGGTGATGCCGGCGAGGAGCGTGAGGGTGTCTGGAATGGCGCCGGTGATGCGGTTGCCAGACAGGTCGAGGTGAGTGAGGTTGGGGCAATGCCAGTGGTGCGGGAGGAAGCCAGAGAGGTTGGCGTTGGAGATGGTGAGACGGGTGAGGCGCTCCATGTGGGAGACGACGACTGCGAGCTCGGTTGGGGAGCCCGTGGCGAGGGGCGTGTCAGCGACGGTGAGCTCTGGAAGATTGGTGAGGTGAGAGAGCCACACGGCGGAGAGGCTGTGGAGCGAGGCGGTGCAGGAGAACGCCTGGAGCCCAGACGCCAGCTGCTCTAGGGGCAAAGCTCGCGGCGGCGTGGCCGGGCAGTCGGAGAATGCCAGCGCCCGAAGCGACGGCGCGAGCGCCTAGAGTGCCACGGTCGAGACGGAGGTGGTGTCGGAGTAGTTCGTGAGGGCAAGTGACGTGACGCGTCGGAACGACGCCCCCGCGTCGTAGGAAGCGTTCACCGCGCCCACGGTGGCGCCCGCGCCGCAAGGGTCGGCGCGCGGGTGCGCACCCAGGCCGAGCGCGCGTAGCGTCAGCAGCTGCTGTGGGTCCAGCGGCGCCGCGCCCACGATGGCCGTGGTGATGAGGAGGGGGAGGAGGCGAGAGAGGAAGAGGGCAGCGACGTCCATTCTCGTGGACGTAGAGCAAGCACGCACAATGGCGATTGGCGAAGCGAGCGAGAGCGCGCGTGGGTGGGAACCCGAGAAAGGCTTCTTGCCTTCTTCAAAGCCGGAGGGAGGAGCAGCAGCACGGTGTGAACCGCTCTCTCCACGGGCACAGGGCTGGAGCCGCTCTCCACCGTCGGATACGCGCGGATTGACGGATGGGCAGGGCGCGCCGGCTGGGTATTGGAGCGACGAGGGGCGGCATGGGACAGCGGCTTTCGAGGGCAGTGTGCTTGCGTCGGGGCGCGCAGAGGATGCCTGTGACCGCGGCAGGGGCAGCAGCGTGCCTGGGTATCCATGTAGTCCCTGTCTGCCTATCTCATGCTACCGCTGAGTCCAATTGGGGCGTGATTGGTTGCCTGAGCCGGGTCGTCATATGGCCCATCCCGCATCCTTTGGTTCATTCGCTTGTGTTTGGTTGCCCTACTCGCACCTTTCTTCTGCTTCCTCTCGTGCAGATTTTCTCCTCCATCCCGAACGGTGCCGTCTTCTCGATCCCCACTTCCCTCTTGGTGCAGGCTCGCTCGGTGCTTGGCGGGAACCGTTTGCGGAGAGTGCGGGAGATGAGGCCGTCCTGGCAATAAAGCGCGCGCGGGTCACGGCTAGGGTTACCGCCCTCGCTCTTCGCCTCTTCTTCCACCATAGCTCCGGTGCGAACTCCCCTCTAGCTCTTCCTCGACCTCGGTAGCCCTACCGAGGTGACCACCGCCGGTAGATTTCTCTCGGTCCTCCAGCGATTCGACGATATATGCCACCTGCGCTCTTCCCCTCCTCCTTCTTCAGTGTCGATTTTGTTGATTTGTTGGTGGATTTTGCTTATAATGCCAAGAAATTAGAGTTCTTGGTTTGGCATCCTCAGATTTGTGCGATGCTATACCTGATTTACCTGTTCCTAGCTCAAATCTGTACATGATGCTTTATATTTGGTGTATACCTTATGTTTTGTGTAGATCTTGTATATGTTGATGCCTATTTTGTTGTACACATTGAGCAAAGTGCCTAGAGGTCTGTGATGTTGATTGTGTAATAGTATACGCTGGAGCACCCTTTGGTGTGGCAACCGCGTCTTTCATAGTTCATTTTGTCTGATTTTTTGCTTACTAAGCAGTACACACCCATGTTGCATGCTCCCTTTCTAATGTTGCCCTCCATCCTGTTGGTAGACATGGCCTTTGAAGCTAGGCGCAGGGCTGTCGTTGCTGTGGTTGTTGCAGTGGCTGCTTGGTTTTTCATGTGGTTTAGGAGGAGGGTTGAAGATTTGTGCTCAATCACCTATGGTCCCTTGGCTGAGAGGGACAAACAGAGAATGAACAACCTTAGATACATCTATGAATCTGATGATGTGCACTGTGTCAACCTTCTTAGAATAAAGAGGGCCCCTTTTTCCAACTTTGTGACCTTTTCCGTAGTAGAGAACTTGTCACTAACAGCATACATGCATTTGTTGAAGAACAAGTAGCCATGTTCTTGCATGTTGTTGGTCACAATGAGAGATTTAGGGTGGTTGACCTCACCTTCAGGAGGTCCACAAAGACAATTAGTAGGTTCTTGCCAGAAGGTGTTATATGTGGTAGGAGAGCTGAGGAATGAATTGATTGTTCCTCCTGCTACCAATGTCCATCCTAGAATCCTTGGGAGCAGAAGGTGGTACCCCTATTTTAAGGTTGGTATCCATAACTTGTCATACATAGGTCTCATTCATTATTAGTTTAGTGTCAATGTTCACTTGCACTTATGTTTTGTGATTTAGGACTACATAGGAGCAATTGATGGTACTCATGTCTTAGCTAGAGTTCCTGTGAAGATGCAAGCTGCCTTTAGAGGCAGAAAGCACACCATCACACAAAATGTGTTGACAGTCGTGGACTTGGACCTCAGATTCACCTATGTGCTTGTTGGTTGAGAGGAATCTGCACATGATGCTCTTATCTTGTCTGATGCTCTTGAAAGAGCTGATGGCCTTAGAGTGCCACCAGGTATCATCCAAACCACAAAAAATCATTGACACTTTGCTTAATCCTAAATGAAACTACTAAAATATATCCCTATCTGCTAATTTCTAGGCAAATTCTATCTTATTGATGCTGGCTATGCAGTGAGGCCTAGTTTCTTGCCACCATTTCGTGCCATAAGATACTATTTGAGGGAGTTTGGTTCAAACCGACCTCAAAATTAAAGAGAGCTTTTTAATCTAAGGCATTTGTCTATTAGAATAATAGTTGAGAGGGCTTTTGGGGCTCTAAAGAATAGATTCAGGATATTGGACAACAAGCCTTTCCACCCATACAAGACCCAAGTTAAGCTTGTTCTTGCCTGTTGTATTCTTCACAATTGGATCCTCAGGCATGGGCAGGACGAGCATGTGCCTGCTGAATCCACATGGACTCCTAACATCAATGACAATGCCTCACAGCCAGATCATATCCCTGATAATGGTACCTGGGCACAACAAAGGGAGGCATGGGCTGCACAGATGTGGCAAAACAGGGTGAATTCTAGGGTATAGTGGCATGGTGTGTGTACTGTTTAGTAGCATTGATGGAACTTGTATTTTAACTGAGACCTATGACACTTTGCAATGATGTGGTACCTATTCCTTTTCTGCCTATTTGATCTGTTGAACTTGTATTTCATATCATGCAATTTGTTTTCCTTACGTACTGGTTTGTTCAATGTTATGCTGGTTGTGGATAGGAAATGGACAATATGCCTGATGAGGTTGTTAACATTGGTGGTGAGGACAATGTGGTGGAACAGGGTGGGGTAGTTGTTGCTGATGATGGCAATCCAGCAGCCCCTCAGCCCAATGGCCCTATGCACTGGACTCCTGTCCAGTCTGGGTTCATGCTAAGGAGGTTCCATGATTTGGTGGGGCAGGGGGTCAAAACTGAGAAAGGGTTTAAAGAGGTACATGTTAGGCAGGTATGCACTCATGGTCTCTGAGTTTGTTGTGGTCAATGTGAGCTCCCAGCAGATTTACAATCACCTGAGAAAGTAGAGTCAAATGTGGGTTAAGATTGTTAGGCTCAAGGATTTGAGTGGTGCTCTGTGGGATGAGGACCACCATATGATAGTACTTGATGACGAACACCTATTTGGCCACACCAAGGTTAGAAACTATTTGGATAACACCTCAGCTATCCCCTTTCTTTTTCTCCCCTATGTCTAATAGTTATATATGTTTCACTAACTAGGACCATCCTGCTGATGCTAAGTTCTTGAACACACCAATAGAGAACTATGTTCAGATGGAGGCCATCTTTGGTGGTAACCAGGCCATAGGTAGGTATGTAATGGGCTCAAATGAGCCTCTGGGTACTCCAACTGACATTGGCCAAGGTGATATTGATGCCGTTGAGGACATCACTGACTTAGGTGGCACAAAGGCTGATTCTGGAAAGGGAACTCCTTCTGATATGGAAGGCTCTAAGGGTTATGATGTCAAGGGCCAGGAGGAAAGGGGTGGCAAGAGAAGAAAGCTTGCCCAAGAGGAAATAGATCTCATGAATGGAATGATCAAGGCTGTGGAGTCTGTAGGAGATGCCCTCAAGACTCCACAGCACAATGAGGTGCATCAGGACCTTTATGGCTGTGTTATGGACTACCCTAGGTACTCACAGGAGGCACTCATGTTTGCCCTGGTTTACCTACTGAAGAACAAGGCTGAGGGACTTTGCTTTGTTCAGATGACATAGGCTCATAGGATCCTGTGGCTTAGGACCTACCTGAGCACAATATACTTTGCTTAGATGCATATGAGTTGGCCTCTCCACTTTTGCATATAGCCATGCTAACTGTCTTATGCTGTAGAAAGTATTTTGATGTGTAGCACTGACCTCATCTGATGCTACAAAGAACCAATTACCGCCTGACTAAGGCTGCACCTAGTTTTGTATAGCATAGGAGCCATGGTGATGGATGTGAGGATGTGTTGATCTATGTGGTGTAGACATTAACAACGGGTGATGAATTGTCACTTAGTTGATCTGAGCCCTAAAATACTTTGGATTGTCACTTAGTTGATCTGAGCCCTAAAATACCTTGGATTGTCACTTAGTTGATCTGAGACATTTCAGATGCTGTTATTGTTCTTGTTATTCTTATTGTTGGAGTTCCTATTTGGCCGATGATGCAAACTATAGCAATCTGAGGTGGCTGTGGGTATTCTTCCTGTTGCTGCTTTATTGTCTTCTTGTGTTTTCTCACGTCTATCATCAAACTGTGGGATACGTCCATTCCCAAGCAACTGTTGTAGGCATGCCTACCGGATGACTGGGATGGACGTGTCCCACGCTTCCATGGTAGCCATGAACTTGCGTCAATAATTTGTGTTCTTATTTGCCATCTGGGATAATTGCAGTTAGCTTGCAAGATGATTATAAGTTAGTTTGCAGTTAGCTGAGGCTAGCATTTTTTTGTGCCTATGATGTCAACCATTTTTTGACTGAGGCTGATACAATTGTCAGATCCTTTTCATACCTATGAAGATAACAGTGCCAGTTTGAGTAATAGATTATGCACATTGATGACCTTGGACTTGTGAGGTATTGGAGCATTGTTTCTTCTATCTTCTACTTATGCTTCTCATGGCTGTCATCAAATCATGTGAGACATCCATGCCCAAGCAACAGCTAGGCGGTTGTGATGATCTGATGGCTGGGCTGGATGTCTCTCATGGTTTCATGACTGTCATGATCTTGGTTTTCTACTATCTGTTTGAGGTTTATTGTTGTCTGTGTTTCTTAAGCTCTAAGTTTAAGGTCAAATGAAAAGACAATTAAATCTGAGGCAAATCGATTGAACTAACCCTCATCTTATCAACATCTTATACTTGCTTTTATGTGTTTTTTAAGGGGCACATGGCTTGGTATGTTGTATACCGTGACAGAGTTCCTGGGGTATATGCAACCTGGGCTAGATGCAATGCTCATGTAACTGGTTTTAAAAACAAGAGCTTCCCTAAC